TTCATGTGGGCCCCGTTCCCCCCCAGATCCCGTCCTCCGATGTGTGAATGTTTGTGATCGTGTGTGGTGTTGTGTGCTGTGTGAAATTGTGTGTGAACTGCATGTCTGTCTGTGCTCGTGTACGAATGATCAGTGACAGTGCGTGCGTTTGTCTGCTGATGTGCGGCGTAACCATGACGTACATCGCGAGTTGTCTGTCTGCCGTAGCGGTGCGCCTGTTACGAGTGGAGGCCTGCGCTGCTGCGTGAGCGTGATATGAGTTCTGCAGCAGCACGATCCCCGCCGTACGTGGCTGGCTGGGGCCGGGAAGGATTCTACACCATCAAATTTCACTTGCCTGCTGTGCTAGCGTACAACGTTCTCTTTCTCGCTATAAATGGTCAATTCTGTAGTCGCGCAGAGTACGAGTTTAATTAGATCCTGTCGTGTAAATTCGGCTACCACGAGCAGAGGACAACTCGCACAGCGTGGTTAGGATCGGAAGCCTCCTCCTCGCGCCGGCGCCCGCTCTCCTCTCCCCAATCCTCTCTCTCTATTCCTCCTCACATCTCTCTCTTTTGATTCCTCCTCTCTCATCTCTTCTTCCTCTAATCTAATATCTAACTTTCTCTGCCTTACTTTTTTCTAAGATATCTCTATTCCTCTTCTCTCCCCTTCGCCTCTCCCTCCTGCTTCCTCATCTCCCACTCTCGCTCCTCTCATCTATTTCTCTCTCCCTTTCTCTCTGCTCCCACTCTACTTTTCTCTCTAATTCCTCTCTCTCATCTCTTCTTTCTTTCGTCTTGTTCTCTCTCTCTCTCTTCTCTCTCTCTCTCTCTCTCTCTCTCTCTCTCTCTCTCTCTCTCGCTTTCCGATCGAGATTCTTAGTGCACGAGTCCGGTGCGCTCTATACTATACAGGAAACGTATCGACATACATAAGAGTAATGGTCGAGCACTCTGTCTTCTGTCTACGGCCGTTCCCGCCTGTCAGATGCCGTCCGGCGGCGATTCTTCGGTCGCGCGCGTCTGCATGCGCCGGAGGTTTTTTTTCAATCGAGCCGAGTGCGTATCCGTGTCGAGCGACGGTGACTGAGCAGTCGCGTATGTGCGACACGCGCCGATGTGCGACTTGAGGCGGCGATCGCGCGTGCCCCAGGCTGCGATTCCCGCGTCGCGTGCCGTATGCAGACGGCGCGCGTGCGAGAGCGTGCCCGCGCTTGATCCCGCCGCAGCTGTGCGAGGGAATGTGTCGCTCGCACTTCCACGTCGATCAAAGCAAGATCAATTCAAAAGGAGATGCTTTGCGAAGCCCGCTTGATTGATTCGCCGGGTAATGCGATAGCCTTGTCGACACGGCTCCGTTAGTTTGTCAGGTAACACAGGAGCCTTGCACAGGCTGCTGTGTCCATTTAACCAGGTAACGTAGAACCTTGCGCTGACCGATGTCGGCTGATACACCAGGTAAGGTTGGTGCAGGTTGTTATGTATGATTAACCATGTAAGGTTGGTGCAGGTTGTTATGTATGATTAACCAGTTAAAGTTGTTGTCTTACTCCGACCGGTATTTAGGCTAAATCAGCAGGAAAATTATTATGCTTGCTCCGACCGGTATCAGTTGATTCCCTATAGGTATAACGTAAGTGCCTTGCTCGCCAGTTGTTAGTCACGAACCAAGGGTAGAGGACTGGACCTGTCGTAGCGCCTACACCACACAGTTTCACCTCACGGAGTGAGCGCAAACCTCACACGAAGAACGAATTACTTCTCTATCGTTGCGTTTAGTTCAAGCAAGATTTAGTCTTGTCGTGTGAGCTGCACGCAAGCAGAGCTGCTTCACCTCTGGCGCCACTCACGAATATCTCGCTATCACAAAATTCACCGGGAGACTTTTCCGCACAGGCGACGCGATCAAGAGCGATTCCCGCCGAAACCCATTCGGGAGAGAGAGCCGGCGATTACGAATCGTCTGCTGCTGAGAGAGGATGCTGTGACGGGTTGCGTTTCTTTCGTTAGTGTCGCCGTCTTGGTTATAGTTACTTACTCTCTCTCTCTCTCTCTCTCTCTCTTTCTTTCTTTCTTTCTTTCTTTCTTTGGCTCTCTCTTTCTCTCTCGCGCCCGCGCTCTTTCTCGCTCTCTCTCTCTCGCTATCCCTCGTCTGTTATATAGCCGTTCACGATAAGTCAACTGGGAGACGCAGTTGGCGATTGATCAGCCGGCACATTGTGACAACAGTCCGTTGCTCGGAGCAGGCTGCTGAAGCTATGCCGCAATGCCTCTGCGCTCGCTTCGTCTGCCGAGCGAGATAGCGAGGGGACGCAGTGCGCATGCGCTGCGCTGCTATGCTAACAGGCCGGCACGGACGTGTGTGTGTGTGTGTGTGTGTGTGTGTGTGTGTGTGGTGTGCGCGCGTGCGTGTGTGTGCGTGCGTGCGTGCGTGCGTGTGTGTGTGTGTGTGTGTGTGTGTGCGCGCGTGTGTGTGTACATGCATGCGTAAATGAGTGCGTGTGTACACGTGTGTGTATGTCTCTCTTCTCCCTCTCTTTCTCTTTGTGTATGTGTGTGTCCGGTAGCGTGTGCGTGTGCGTATGCGTATGCGTGTTCGTGTGCTTGTGCGTGTGCGTTCGTTAACGTGTGCGTGTGCGCGTATATGCGTATGCTCTCCCGAGTAAGCGCAAATTCCCCGCACGAATAAGAATGAGGTGAGACAATTTCGCCTGGCAGAATAGGAAAATTAAAGAAAGAAAATTATGTAAACTCTATTAATCATATAATCAACGTACTTAAAATACAAACTAACACAGAATTGTATCAATAATTGGTGCTTATATGACTTTGCTTAGTTGGAGTATATAGTAACTATGTCGAAATCCTATCATTGTATTTTATTGGACTAAAGCTGTACAAAGGGTTGCATAAAATATCATTGGAAAATGATTGTTAATTGCAAAATTCAAGTTTTTCTACAGCGATACGCAGTGTTGAGATATCCATTTGATGAACTTTGTCTCTCTCCGTCCTCGATATAGTCCACTGGACTTTGAAGACTAATCTTTATGAGATTATGAGGTTGAAGCTATGTAAAAAGCTATGGAAGAACGTCATTTGATCATAACAATAATAAAACACAGTTCGATAGCGCGTTCTGTTATGACACGTCACAGCGCGTGACATCACCACGGCAATGGCAACCAGGAAAATAGGTGACATCATTGTTCCAGATGGCAACCGCGCGAAAGGAATGCGTTTATCGCGCCCTCTATTGGCAACCATGGCAGCGGCGATAGTCGTGAAGTGTTCATGCGCTCTAATAACGCGCGCCGCGTATTAATCTACCGTCCAGCCGCCGATCCTCAATGCAGACCCAGCAGGTAATTTCTCAATATAGTCGCTCACACATACAGTTATATGCAATTCACCTATGTGCAGCGCACTGTTCGTCTCGTTTTATTTGCTCCTTGGGTTGTTTTGTCGTTGATAATATCTATTCATTGCTAGTTTACGTTTACAATATTATGTTACAGCTAATCTTCTCGAACCCGGCATTAGAGATTCCTGGCAATTCTCTCTATAAAATACAGGCATTATGTAATTACATAGTACGCAAGGAAGGAGTCTCGAAAACAATATTCCAACAAAATCCTATCGCTAGTGTCACGTACCTTTTATTAATGTGTAAATTTTTGCACAACCGTATAATGTAAAAATCATCCATCCATTCATCCATCCATCAATCCATCCATCTATGCATCCACCAATCCATCATCGATCCATCAATCCATCTATCCATTCATTCATCCATCCATTCATCTATCCATACATCTATTTATACATACATACATCCATCCATCCAGCCATCCATCCATCCATCTATTCAGCCATTTATTCATTCATCCATTTATCCGTTTATCCGTCCATCCATCCATCCATCCATCCATCCATCCATCCATTAATTCATCCATCCATCCATTCATCTATCCGTGCGTTTATCCATGTATTCATACATCTAGATCAAATGTGCCGTTTAACTGCGCATTGGCACGCCACACACCGACCGTCGTGCATTGACCGTGGATGCAGCCGCAGCAGCGAGCCGCGTTCAACGGACCACTGACACGATGATGTCACTGTTCAACAGCGGCGCCTCTAGCAACGTCGAGGACGCCGAGTTGCGAAAGCGAGGCTACGCGCTGTGCAGCGAACTCGGGTCGGGCTCGTATGCCAAGGTCAAGTCAGCTTTTTCCGAAAAACTGACGAAGAAAGTAGCGTTAAAGATCATAGATAGGTTTGGAATGCGTTTATATATTTTTGATTCTCAATGCGGACGGAACGGCTGAGTTAACCCTCGGGTACAGTTCACGTGCCATTCCCATTGATTCAGCAAGCGTTCACTTATGAGTTAGCAATTTAATTGTAAACAATTAACGATAAGCACACTAATTACACAAACCGAGTAAAATTAAAACGGTAACAAATAGCTATAAACGTGAGAAATTGTCTCTCGAGTGAGTAAACCATCTCGAGAATCGTGATCCTTGACAGAAAGAAGGCGCCGCGAGACTTCCAGCAGAAGTTTCTCCCGCGCGAGCTGGAGGTGATGAAGCAGATGGCGCACCGTAACGTTGTCGAGCTGTACGAAATCATGGCATCTGCCGAAAAGGTGAAAAATGTCAGGCATCTGCGATCGTACCCCCGCCGTTTTAGAGCCAATTTTCATGGCGTTTCGTATTGTATGAGAACAATAGCTATCCTATATACAGCATGTTATGGAATAACCGTGATGAAAATCTTCGTATTAGAGCATATTTATCAAATGTGAATGCCATGAACACACTAATACTCCATACGCTATCCCACTAAATATACTGGACTAGTAGGTAATGGTACCCAATCATCGTTAGCATTTGATAGGTTGAAAGAACAAGGCTGGAGTTTGATTGCCGCTATTTTTAGGAAGGATACACGAAGGAGGCAATGACGATTATATGGGTGCGAAGCTAGAAAGAAATTGATTGGGGGTGAAATCAATGGGGTTCGTGAGGTACAACTCTTTTTTGCTCTGTTACGCAACGAAAATAGCAATATTTTTTATGCGCAATCTTACAATACATACGACTGACATCTGACCGCAAGCGTCCTCACCGTATAAAAAAAAACTCATCGTAAGAGAATTACGGCTCAAAACAAACGGAAACAACTGAAAATTCATCTGATATTTTCCGGTTTCTAGATAATTAAATAGGTCTAATCCCGAGCCTCGAAAATAACCGTTTCCACAGTATAGAATTTGTTAACATTAAGTTATTTGTTCCCATAATTGCCGCCGTAATACCTACAAGCGAATTTAATTGGCAGCACTGTCGCTCGCTTAATTTGTAGACTGGTACACTTTCGCTACACTGTGTCAAGAGACTATCTATGTTTCTATATCGTAGCGACGGGATACCAGTCTAGCGAGACTGAGATCCGCGCTTCCACCGTGCGAGCGTTGCCAACGCAACACGGCGTCACTCAGTCGGTTGTCGGGGCAACACGCGTGGGCGCAAACAAACGATTTCTCGCCGACTAGTCTGTCTCCTCTACTACCACACGCGCGCGTGCATCTTGAGAAGAATTCTCAGGAGATATTAGTTTCGCTATATATTTGCATGTTTCGAGGCCCATTCTCGTGTCGCGCTATCGCAGGCTTCGGTGAGTCCGGTGGTCGACGATTGAGTGGTAATAAATCCTCTATCGCGTAGAACCACTTCGCGAAATAAAACGACATCTGACAAAATGGCCGCGTATAGGATGCGCTAATGGAAGACAAATTACTGCACATCGCTACTCCTTCCTCTTCCCCTTTCTCCTCCGCTATCCGCGCTTTACTAGTAGTTAGTAGTAGTACATTTTTTGCAGTTGAAGTCTTCCCGGCGTTATAAACTTGCCTGTGCAAATATGAAATTGTTTGCCTTCGACCAGAGTGGCTCTCTCCCCCCTCTCTTTCTCTCTCCCTCCCTCCCCATATCTCTCTCTCTCTCTCTCTCTCTCTCTCTCTCTCTCTCTCTCTCTCTCTCTCTCTATATATATATATATATATATATAGATTCCAATGGTTGTTTATGAACTCGTATATATTTGCACATATAATCTCTCTCTCTCTCTCTCTCTCTCCTCTCCTCTCTCTCTCTCTCTCTCTACCACTACAAATATCTTTCTATCTATCTATCTATCTATCTATCTATCTATCTATCTATCTTCTATCTATCTACTATCTATCTTCTATCTATCTATCTATCTATCTATCTATCTATCTATCTATCTATCTATCTATCTATCTATCTATCTATCTATCTATCTACTCTATTATCTATCTATCTATCTATCTATCTATCTATCTATCTATCTATCTATCTATCTATCTATCTATCGTATCCTATCTATCTATCTATCCTATCCTATCTATCTATCTATCTATCTATCTACATCTATCTATCTATCTATCTATCTATTCTATCTATCTATCGATCTATCTATCTATCTATCTATCTATCTATCTAATCTATCTATCTATCTATCAGCTATCATCTATCCTATCTATCTATCTTATCTATCTAATCTATCTATCTATCTATCATCTATCTATCTATCCTCATCTAATATCTATCTACTCTAGCTATATATATATATATATATATATATGGTGTTTTCGTTACGAGAGCCTTCAGTAGAGTGAGTACTAGCCGTAGTGGTCGCGATGCCACGCGTTTCTTCATCGATCGCTCTCGCCACGACTGAAATAAATAAAAACCGGACGACGTGCACGAGCCAGGCACTCGAATGCGTTCGCGCGAAATTAGATTAGGCTTGGGCGCGCGCGCACGCGGCCCGAGTTTTAATCGAATCGCCGACGCGCGGACTACGGTCGTTCGCGATTCGATATTCACGTCTCTCTCTTCTCTTACTGCTCAAGGTGTACATTGTGATGGAGCTGGCAGCACACGGCGACCTGCTGGAGTACATCAAGCTGCGAGGCGCGCTTCCCGAGAAGGACTGCAGATACTTCTTCAGACAGCTCGTCGACGGCATCGAATACCTGCACAGCTTAAACATCGCTCACAGGTGAGGGTCGTCGAGGGCGTGACGACACATCCTCGGGCGGCGCTGGTAGTGCGAAATCGGGACGGAGAAAGCATTCCGTGTTTCGCAAGTTAAAAATTGGCCATTTCCAAGTACTCGATTTTGTGAAATCGCTTTCCTTAAAAAACCTCGGCTTTCCCACGTCCCGATTGACTCCTAACGTCGAATCACGATTTTTTCCGGTATTTCCCGGGTACCAGATAACTGAAATCCGGTCCTCCGAAAATAACCATTCCTATTTATTATAGTATATAGCATGGTGTTAATATAATAGATGGTAATGGTAGTCGTAATCGAGTGACGGCAATGGTAGCATGGTGTGGTTAATTGTGTGGTGGTGGTGGTGGTATAGTGGCAGACTCATGAGCAATATTCAACGGCACGCAAAATCCATGTCGCCGTGGGGAAATATTTACTAATAATCTCGGCAACTATATACACGCTCGCGCGCACCACACGCTCATAAGGCGTCGTGAAAGTTAAGTGAATAGAACACGAATCCCGATAAATAAAATAGCTACAGATGCGGCTAAAAAGCTCAAGTCCCCTGATGAGGACGTAACAGCTTTATGGAATTTTGATACAAAGGTCGCACGTTATACTACCATTACGACTACATACTGAATTACGAGCAACCGCGAAGCAAAATTTTTGCTCATTCGCCTCGGTGCTAATTCCTTTCAAGGCTGTGCAGCGTTAACGGGATTACTGCCGCGCTGGCATGATGCGATGGCGATATGCGAGCAGTTCTCAGCTGAGCAATAATAGAGCGGCGGTTTTCTCCTTCTTGCAGGGACTTGAAGTGCGAGAATGTTCTACTAGACGTTAACAATACGTTGAAGATTTCCGATTTCGGCTTCGCGAAAGTTTGCGCGGCTAAGGACCTGAGCGACACGTTTTGCGGCAGGTGAGAAAGTGTTTGTGCCGAGAGAACTCGACTGCGTTCTGCAATATTTACGACGCCTCTCTCCTCGCGCATGTGCTCGATCGACATTTGCGAGAACACTATATATGTATAATTAAAGAATATAAATGAATTAGACAAAACGTTTCTATTCTGCCTGAGGAGGAGACGTCTCGATCGGAAGCTCGCTCGATGCAATGAATTTATGACACCATCTTCTATTGTATTTTGATTTTTTTGTATATATATATATATATATATATATATGATATATAATATATATAACCGATATATGACGGTGAGATTTTTTACTAGACTCGTTTTATTGTTTGGTTGCGCAGCATTTCGTATTGTTATGCATTCTCTACTTCAATTCGCTATTGGATGAGTATAAATAACGGAAGGCGATAGCGACACGCCATGATTCTTTCGTTAATATTTAATAACCATGTGTAATCCCATCCATGTTTTCTTTAACAGCAGATCATTGCTATTTCGTGCGTGTCGCTCGATGAAAAATATTTATCACAATAGTGCTCGATGCGTGCTGAAATATAGCCAGCAATCTCCTGCCTGAAGCGCACTAGAATTTATGAGAAATACCCTGCTTGAAATGTGCTGGAAATTACTAGAAATCTCCTGCTTGAAGTGTTCTGGAATGTACTAGATATCTCCCCGTATAGCGTGCTGAAATCTACTAAAATCCCTCCATGCTTGCATCGCGAGGGGGAAAAGGTTACACGTCATTAACGTGATTAGAGCTAGAAGCGCGGGGCACTGAAAAGAGACGCTTTAATTATCACTAATACAGCTTTCTGCTCTTCTTCGCGATGACAGCGCCGCCTATGCAGCTCCGGAGGTGCTGCGAGGGATCCCCTACAATCCGGCGACGTACGACATCTGGTCGATCGGTATTATCCTCTACATCATGTGCTGCGGCTCGATGCCATTCGACGATTCGAATATGCGAAGGATGATAAAGGAACAATTAAGTAAAAAGGTCTGGTTCCCCGCGATCACATTGCAATAATTGTCAATGTAACATTGAAGAATTTTAAAAAGGATTTGCAAAAAATACCCTCTCTTCGCACACCCAACGTCGTTAAATACTACGCACCACGTACGATAAGTATGTCGCACGATACCCACCTGCCGCACAAGTTTTTATAGAGGATCCGATGTTGTAATTCCATCGAGATTTCGATGCTCTCGACGAGAGAGAAACCTTCGAAAGCGCGCGCGGTTTAGATGTCACTCGTTCATCGGCGGTTCATTTGTTTTCCTGCCCAGTTTTTTATGCGTGACTGCGATTTAAAACGAAATGAAGTAAAAAGTGCGAGTGGGAAAGCCAAGTAATTAGAGTAATTGCGGCTGCACGCGGGGGAATCACTACTGATTCGACCGAGTGACTTTGTATTTAATTATCTCTTATTCGGTGCTTAGTCGCAGTCGCATGGTCGTCGGTCCGCATAATGTTTAGTAAATTACTTAGTGTTGCCAGCTAACAAAACGTAGGAAATGAAGGACGCATGTGAATGTAATGCAAACAGTTTCTATCCAATGACGCGCGCGTAGGCGTAGACAAATCTGCACGCAGTTGCATGTATACATGTGAGTGGCCTGTTCTTGCGCGTGCGCACTCGCATGTGTGAGAGCGCCTGTGTATGCGCGTGATGGTATATATAATATATATATATATATATATATATATTATTATATATATTATATAATATATATATATATATAATATATATATATATTGCACGCGTATACGTGCGTGTGATTTTGTAAGCGCACATTTCATGTGTGCGCGTGTGTGTTGGAGAGCGTGTGCGCGCGTGTGTGTGTGTCTCTCTGTGAGCGTCCGTGTGCATACGTGCGTGCGCGCGCCTGTGTGTGTGTGCGGTCGTTGCTTGAATATTTTCAACAGAATCTGTGTGTGCAAGCTGCATGCGGCAAGTCGTGCTCCTACACGCCATGTAGGTGTATGTCACTTCAATTTCGCTATCTTCCACGACTGTCCCTATATGACTACGACTTCCGCCGATCTGGTACAATAAACGCCATCGTCTATACCTCGCCACTCTGTGATTTATCTTACAGCTGAGCTATTCCCGGTCCAAGCGTATATGTCACGACGTGAAAGATCTCATAGGAGCCATCTTGGAACCAGACGTGAGAATTAGACTGAAAGTAGACGGCATTAAGAATTCCGTTTGGCTGCGGGATAAATCATCCTACACGCCCCCGGCCACTCCAGAAAGTAAAAATGGCGGTTCTGAATGCTCGGGAGCCAACGCTAGTAGCAGCAAACAATCTGACGATACAAATCAGAACTAGGATCCTGGAGAATATATTTAGTACGGCTAATCTTTTCTCCTATGATACTCGCGCAATAAACAAGTTTATCAGTCACTGCAAGATAACTTCGTTTTGTTTACTATATGGGTTGTTATCGTTTTTATGGTGCGATACCATGGAGACAGATCCATGTGTAGTAAATTAAAAGAATCATAATCAGATGATTTTTGTGATGATTTTATACTATAAACAGGGCCGTAGCCTGCGGGGGCAAGGGCGGCTAGATTTTGGAGCAAAAAAAAGAAAAAAGTTCTACTAAAAGAGAATTGTCGTAGTCAGAATGATGGCTGTACATTGTACTCAAAAGTGCCTCAAATACCATCTCCTGCGATCTACATTTTCTAAATTTTCTGTGGGAGGACCCCCAGACCCCCACCGGTTTCTCACCCCTCATTTAAATCATGGATCCACCACTGCCCCCCCCCATAGGCTCAACCTACGCCCCTGATAAATGAGCAAAAATACCCTAATTGATACTCTGTGTAAGTTCCAATGGGGGTGACTCGTGTCCACAAGGAACACCCACGCTGTTGATGCGAATAAATTATATATTAATTTATGTGCGGATTTTCTGATAACTGTATCAATTATTGTCATTAAGTTTATTGATACACATATAATTATAATCGAATCTATAATATAGCAGATATTTGCAATATTAGAGATAGTTATGTAAACACCTTGTCATTATCACCTGTATAAGGAATACCGGTAATAATCCGAAAAATAACAACATACATTCCTTAATTCGCTTCCAGTAATGCGAATGCGTTCCCCGAAATGTGTACCACTTTATCCTGGAAGTTACCCCCACCGATAAGTGTCGCACGTGCCGTGAATTACGCGAAACAGGGTGCTGAAGTTGCCGACGGGAGTGAGTAAGGTGTCCGACGGTGGGGGGGGGCTATAAGACCTACGCCGGGGAACTAGGGGTACTTATAACTTACATTGCGAGTAGGAGGACAAACCCCCAGCTCGCTATCTAACGCGAGGAGATGTGGATCGTTTGATTGTTTGCCAAATATAAACTGTTTAAATAGCATCTTTAGCGCTTTCACCAGGAAATACTAGTAACATGATTACAAGAGTACATAATAGAGATCTCTATTATGTACTCTTGATAATTATTGACAGACAAATCAGCATTTATCCTGATATTTGATAGATATGATGAGCTGATGAGATTACGTACAACCAGAGCATATAAATCGCTGGTGATTTATATGCTCTGGTACAACGTAACAAATTTATCCAACAGATGGCGCGCAAATCAGTTGCGTTCGCCAATCACAGGCACAATTTTTTAGGGACAGGCACAGGCGTCAATTTCGAAGTAACAACAGTCAACATGTCGGAAAGTTTATTCTCCTATAATTCTTCTATGAAACGCAGCTAATTTTTGAACCGGCACTGAAATATATGCAAAAACTTCGAGCAATTCATAATGCCTTCGTCAGTTGATGACTACGAAGTTATAGGTATGGTGGGAAAAGGTTCCTATGGAACTTGTAAAAAGATAAAAAGAAAATCTGATGGAAAGGTACGTAGGTGTTTAGGCTAGCCACAAGTTCCCTTCTCTCTTAATAACGCTGAGAGGGTCTATGTCTCCCGGGGTACTGCCGGAACGTACCCTGGTACTATCTAATATGGCTCATACTCATAGGGTCGATGTCCCTCAGGTTACTGCCGGAACGTACCCTGCATGGTCACTATTTGATATGGTTACCGTTAGGATTAGGGTTAGGGAATAGGTGTAGGCGACTCCCTAGACTCGTTAGTCACGTAGGCGAGGTACGGTCCGGCATATTAGATAGTACCAGGGTACGTTCCGGCAGTACCCCAGGGGACATAGACCCTCTCTGCTCTAATATGCCGGACCGTACCTCGCCTAGCTACTCCACTAACGAGTCTAGGAAGACGCCTATGCCTACTCCCTAACCCTAACCCTAATCCTAACCCTAACCATATCAAATAGTGACCAGAGTACGTTCCAGTATACCGGACCGTACTCAGGGTACGTTCCGGTATACCGGACCGAGTCTAGGAAGTATACGAGTCTAGGAGTCTACTCAGAGTACGTTCCGGCAGTACCCTGGGGACATAGACTCTATGAGCCTTTTATTAAGCACACTACGTTGGCGTGTTGTTAGTGTTACGGTAAGACCTAAGACGTGTAACAGTCGGAGAGCCTGGTCGGTTTAGTGTTTAGGCTAGATACAATAATGTAACCCAACTTTTTCTACTTGGGGTTTCTTACTCTTCTTGTATTACTCTTCAACCTCTACTCTTGTTGGGTTACATTATTGTATCTAGTGTTTAGACTAGCCCGACCAGGCTCTCCGACTGTTACAGCTCTCGCCAACGTAGTGTTAAGCCACAGGCACTTGAAGCGTTTCAATAAAATATATACGCAGGGGTCGTGTGCTGTGCACGGGGACAGTTAAATATATTATAGTTAAATATATATTTAACTGTCGCCGTGCA